AACAACAGTCATCTCACTTGTGTGTGATTTTTTTTGGCTCCCGGTACATCGTTCATTTTTGTGCTTCGACTTATTGATGCAAAAACGAGAAGAGTGTTCGACTTAACGGCAAAAAAGTTATCGTCATAGATATCAAGCATTGACACAATTCACTCCGCTTTCGTTTATCTTTCCACTGTTTGTAATGATCGGGAAGTGTAACGTGCATCGATTGATTTGTTTCGCGTGTTGCGCTCATTGTGTACTGAACACACACATCGGTGAATACACTGTTCTCCGCACGCTTGCTTTCATGCGTCTGATTGGTTCCCAATTCACCAACTGGACTTTTTGTTAGAAAAGCTTATGTGCGCGCGTGTGTCTGCCTGTCTTTTGCCATGCTCTGAATGCAAAGCCAAGACAGTAGGGGTCAAAATTATCTGATTTTAGGCCTCATATGTGAAACCATGCTATTGATGCACGTTGTGACTCTAACCGTGCACATTGAGACAGTGACGTGACCGGATACACATTGGGAAGCCTCGTGTATCGCATATTGTCCTAGCTGACAATCTCCCGCAAGAATTTGGACCACGATACCTGTCAGTGGTGTGGCACATGTCTTACAAGTGAACGTTGTTTTTGATACAACCATGCATGCAGTTTGGAAAAGTAAATGAAACACAACACGTCATTGATGGTTGACCTCATGCGCACGAGTGAACTGAACGGACGCAGTTTGATCAAATGACAATATCCGTCCTCTATTTGTGATTGGTCTCTTCTGGTGGGAGATACGAAAATGCAGATTGGTCTTTGAGAAGAGTAACTGCATGTTTGTAAGTTGATGAAATTCCTGTTCAGTTTCTCGTTTCCGTTTTTAATATTCACAAATCAACAACAGTTGGAAAGGTGTTGAACATTGCACTCAACTCACAGTTACTTGTGACTAGTATTGTGGGATAAGTGCTACTGATTGGTTGGTTAGAACTGACCATCCTTCAGACTTCACCTTCATGCACATTCCTCAACTGTTCCAGACAATCATATAGTCGGAAGCTCTAGAGTCGAGTTTCGCTGTTATTAGAGTGGGATTTGAACTCTGGATTCACCGCATGGAAGTCGCATCTGTTACCACTGTCGACCAGCTCATGGCGAGGGATATGCACTTCTGATGAGCTCTAATAAGAGTGAAACTCGAGTCTAGTGCTTCTGAGTGCATGGTTTACTGGAAGATCTG